GCTACTCCTGCTGGACCAAAGGGAAGGGTGTTTGTTAGCCCTCTTGCAAAGAAGTTGGCAGTAGAGAAAGGGATTGATCTTACACAAGTAAAAGGTACAGGACCAGATGGTGAATCACCAAGAAGGATATTGACTCTTTTGTGCCTAGTAAAGCTGCTCCTGCTCCAGCAGCTGTTGTGCCTCCCACAGGTCCTGGAATGGCACCAGTTCCTACAGATGTCTTCACAGATATCCCAATTAGAAACATTCGTCAGGTTATTGCACAACGATTAATGCAATCAAAGCAAACAATACCTCATTATTACCTTTCTATAGATGTAAATATGGGAGAAGTTTTGTTGGTACGGAAAGAACTTAATAAGATTTTAGAAGGGAGAAGCAAAATTTCTGTCAATGACTTCATCATAAAAGCTTCAACTTTGGCATGTCTAAAAGTTCCCGAAGCAAATTCTTCTTGGATGGACACAGTTATGAGACAAAATCACATTGTTGATATCAGTGTTGCAGTCAGTACTCCTATAGGACTCATCACACCTATTGTGTTTAATGCACATATAAAAGGGCTGGAAACCATTACTAATGATGATGTTTCTTTAGCAACCAAAGCAAGAGAGGGTAAACTACAGCCACACGAATTCCAAGGTGGCACTTTTACGATCTCCAATTTAGGAATGTTTGGAATTAAGAATTTCTCTGCTATTATTAACCTACCTCAAGCATGTATTTTGGCAATTGGTGCTTCAGAGGATAAACTGGTTCCCACAGATAATGAAAAAGGGTTTGATGTGGCTAGCATGATGTCTGTTACACTCAGTTGTGATCACCAGGTGGTGGATGGAGCAGTTAGAGACCAGTGGCTTGCTGAGTTTAGAAAGTACCTTGAAAAACCTATCACCATGTTGTTGTAACTAACTCAATAGAAAGAAAAGAGAGCACCAAAGATTGAGGGGAGAAATCCTCCAGTGCAGGGGTATGAAGTGCAGGGGTATGAAGTGCAGGGGTATGAAGAAAAGACTCTCCCAGGTCACAATGATTCATTCTTATCAAGATATTTATGTATTAAACAGGTGGTTCGTTTTATTTTAACCAGTTATTTTTATTATTGAGTCTGTCCAGATATTTATAATGGACATTACTGAATTTTTGAAATGCCGATTACACCCAAATATTGTGCACATTTAATACTCAGACACCAGATTTTTAGCTCTGTACTCCTAATTAAGGGACATGTGGCCTTGCCTAGCCCTCTGGTGATAAGTACTTCCACTAGGAAATGTAGAATAGGTAGAATTGTGGTTCCCTAAAGAAAAGGACATAAAGGTAACCTGGATGGAACCTTGAAGTTCTGAAATTTAATCTCCTAAAATGTTCTCCTTAGATGTGAGAGAAGGAGAAATCAGGAAAATTAATTCTCGTAGGGGAAGGGCTTGAATTGAAGCTTTACTTTAGAATTTAACCCTGGTTTGAAATTTTCCATTATATGATCTTGGTTTATCATTGATGGGAAGGGTAGAAAACTTCAAGGAAAATAAGTGAAATTTTCAAAGTCAACGTTTTGTTAGACCTTTTCAGCTGATTGTTTATTTTTCTGTGAATCCCTATACACAGTTGTTTCCCTTCCTCTTGAGATAATCTAAATATAAACCAGCCACTTGATATAAATGAAAGAAAAAAATATATACATCCGTGAATACAAAGGTTGATGGCCTTTGTGTGAGTTATACAGGCCCCAGTTTTTCAGTTTCTAATCTTTTATTCTTGGTATGTCATTATTTATTTATTTTTATTTTTACCTTTTCCATTTCCCCTTTCAGGAATATGTCATTATTTATTAGTCTAACAAAATGTAGTGGGAAAGAGGAAGATGCCTGCTACTTATCAGAAAATAAGTCAGATGGACTACTTGAGAAAGACACTGAAGGCAATAAAGAGAAACACTTAGAATGCCCAGTATGCTAATGACTATACTGTCTTCTATACTATATATAGTACTATATATATATATAGTATGTGCATATACACACACATACGATACACTATTTTTTCCTTCTAGGTATGAGTGATCATAGTTCAAATGAATAAAATGCAGCTAATTCACAAAGTTTTTTTTAATAAAAAAGTACAACTGACCTTAATGAAAACGCATTCCTCAAGTTTTTGAGAACCAATCGCAGTGAAGAAAATCTTTTGAGAATATCAAATACAGCCTCTCAGTAAAGGGCAGAAGCACAAATAGAATACAGTTAGATAACAGAAAGCTGAGAGGTTGACCTTGTCATGTGAGTTATTTACAGATAAATATACCTTATTTACTTATTCTTCTAAGTTAAAATTGAAACTGACAAAATTGGGCCTTCTTACTGCCCAGTAGAGCTATGAGAATTTCTTTACTGATTGATGAATACCATGGATATTTAGTCCTTGACTCACCTCCCCTGAGTCAGTACTGTACACAATACAAACTTGCTTAAGAAACCCTTCCACCCTACCCTACAAGAACTTACAAAATTCTAGGTGAGGTGAAACATATCTGCAAATGAAATGCAGTATAATGACTCCCAAATATAGAGGTATGTGCAGGAGTTAGAACCAAAATATTAATAAACTAGTGTGGTATGGATGTCCAATGAATCAGATCAGATGCCAGCCCTGAAAAACTGTCCTGCCTGTCCTAAAGCACAAGAGTGGAATATCAGTACTGGTTACATATAATGTGCTGTAGGATTGCATATTTGTATATTTTAGTAATTATTGATTCCACTGAATAATCACGTATAGGTAATGGGCTAATCTATCTTCAGTTTTGAATAAAATAATGTTTCTAACATGAATTCTCTGTAGAAGCTTTTTTTTTTTTTTCTTTTGAGATGAAGTCTCTCTCTGTCGTCCAGGCTGGAGTGCAGTGGTGCGATCTCGGCTCACTGCAAGCTCTGCCTCCCAGGTTCAAGCCATTCTCCTGCCTCAGCCTCCCGAGTAGCTGGGACTACAGGCATCCGCCACCACGCCCGGCTAATTTTTCTTGTATTTTTTAGTAGAGACGGGGTTTCACCGTGTTAGCCAGGATGGTCTCGATCTCCTGACCTCGTGATCCACCCGCCTCGGCTTCTCAAAGTGCTGGGATTACAGGCTGAGCCACCGTGCCCGGCCTTTGTAGAAGCTTTTTAAACAGAAGTTTAGATAAGCAGTGGGCTTAGAAAAATCCACATGAAAAGCCTTTAATAAATGAATGAATTCACCATCTCCCTTTCCCTTCAGTATGTGATTCCAGTGTCCATGTCCTCACCCATGAATGGGAAATGAAGGTGTGTGTTAAGTATTAAAATATAACAGGAGGAGGATCCTAGGGGTACTGCCTTAAACTGGGCCAAACTGCTTCTTTTGTTCTTCTGCCCACAAATGTTTTCCTTCATACTATAAGAAATGCTCCATTTTCTTAAGTACTTATCTTTGGTTGAATCAAAGATTCATTTGTGTTAACAAGCATTGTCTTAAAAAACAAAACCAGAAAATCATAGTGCTGTGTTTCCCTAAGTGTGGTTGAAGGACCACCTAAATGAGATTGCCTGTGGGGGAGGCCCTGGAAATATCTTTCACCAAGTACCTCAGGAAAGCCTAATGTACATTCAAGCTTCAGAATTAATGATGAAATTACTTTCTTTCCATTATGTAGCCAACATGTGTTGCAGTTTAATAAACTGACTTTTTGTTTGTTTGTTTGAGGAGAGTTAGGCAGTTGTGTACTTGGGACATTTTTGGTGGATTTAAGGCCTTGATGGATTTAGGACAGAATGAGATCCCTGGGTGTAAGGGATCTTACACCCTTCTGTTCCTTCCTTCTGTTGCGCCAATCATCTCTCCATTTCTCAAAACTAGAACTCCAGCTAAAATGTACTCAGATGGTGGGCTAAGTCAGTGTCTGTGGCTTATCTAGAAAACTACCTATTATGCTTTTGTTTCAGTGAAATACTTACTGTGAATTTCCAGCTGACTGAAATGCAAATATGCTTTAGAACCCTAGCTGGTTTAGGTTGAGTGCAGGTGCTAAAATAAGGACTTTATCTTGCGTGCCTGCTTTGCATTTGTGGCCAGTGGAACTTCACTTGAGGCTATGGTTTCTCTATTTTCCTACTTTTTTCTGATTTCCTGTGAAATCAAAGCTTTCGCCTTAGGCATATCCCTAAACACTCATGCAATTTCAGCTTCTCCTCTTCCACCAACTTTTCTTGGCCTTACAAATGTATTCAAGATGTTTTCGTCCTTGAAATAAGTCTGTCCTTCTCTCTACTACCTTCTTTCTTTCTCCTATAAATAAGTATCTTGAGTAACTGGATCATAGAAAGGGAGTGATCCCAGAAGTCGGTTGAGCTGAGTGTTGGATCCAACTCTTTCTTGAAAAATCCTTCAGAACTTCAGTCATCACAGCTAGACAAACTCTAGAAGTCCCTCCAGTTCAAACCTTCCTCTGGGATGAGTTTATATTTATCAAGACAAGCTACTTTCAATGCCTCCTCACTCCTTGGAGCCTAGGTTTGATTTCTGCCACCCAACTGTGTATTATACTGTAGAAATTTATAAATTATTAGCTAGTTTCATAATTCAGTAGGTTTTTTCTTCATATTCACTCAACACTGAAGAACTAGTGTTCTTCTTTAGATTCTTTGACACTACCAATACCAGTTGTCATCCTTAACATTTTCTTTTTTTCATTTTTAAACATTTTAAAATAGAGTTGCCAGACAGACACAGAAGTAGAGATTAACACCCATGTACTATCATCAATCATTCTCAAAAATTGTCAACATTTCACCAGTCTCTTAATACTATTTTTTAAAGAAAAAAATCATTTTGTTCTCATAACATTTCTATCACCCTCCAGAATTCTCTTGTGCTGTGCTTTGTAGTGAACCCCCCTCCATCCTCCAACCCCAGGCAACCTCTGACACGTTCTCTATCTTTATAGTTTAGCTTTCTCCAGAATTTCATAAATGAATTTCATAGTATGTATTCTTTGGAGTCTGGCTTATTTCACTTAACAGAAATACAGTTCCGATTCATCCATGTTGTATCAGTAGCCTTTTTCTTTTTATTGCTACGTAGTAATTCATTGAATGGATATACCACTGTTTATCCATTTATTAGTCAAAGAAAATTTCAGTTGTTTATTATTTTGGGTGACTATGAATAAAGTCACTGTAAACATTTATGTACAAGTTTTGGAATGAATATAAGTCTTTCTCTTGGGTTAATATTAAGGGTAAAATTGCTGGGTCATGTGCTAAGCGTATGGGATTTTAATAAGAATTGTGTTGATCAATTTAGGAGAATTGATAACAATATTAAGTTTTCCAAACCATGAACATGGTATCACTTACCATTTATTTAGGTTTTCTTTGATTTCTTTAATTTGATTTTTCTGCATAGATGCATAAGACTTTTTTCTTATTCTTTGAGTTCATCAATTTAATCAGGATTTGTCTTGCTATTGATTGTTATGCATCAGATTTTCTTACAATTTTGTTTTCTCAGTCTGTCTATAAAGTCAGTAGGAAATTATTTTTTGTTATGTATTTGAATATGTTACTTTTTCTTTGGTTGAATCTTGTACTTTAGAAAGACCAATTACCCTTGTTTAGGATCATCTTTGCCCTCCTTTTTTTTTACATATATATTGCTTTAACCTTTATCATTTTCATTTGAACGCTTCAGTTTTTCTCCTATACCTAGAAATCACTGCTTGGCTCTGAATACTCTGTTTCTGGCTGTTTCTGATTTATTTTTTAGTGTGCTAATGATGCTTCGGTCCTCAATTTGTTTCATTGGTTCTACAGTCTCCCATTCCATTTTCTTTTATCATTTTGTGAATACATGTTTTTAACTCAAAACACTTCTGGAGAATTTCCTTTTGTTCCTTTAGTTACCTTTTGTTGTTCTT